AGGGAGCCCGATGCGGGACTCGATCCAGGGACTCCAGGATCATGACCTGAGCCGAAGGCAGTCGCTTAACCGACTGAGCCACCCAGGCGCCCAACTAAATTGAATTTAAATAGAAAATTAAAAAAGTAAAATAAAATGTTTTCATCCCTCAAGCCAATTTCCAAAGAAGTACTCCTGGGATTTTGGTGTCCGGCTTTATTGTACATTTTCACTGAAGCTAGACATTTCCTCTACCAGCAGAGCTTTTTGTGAAGATATAAATGTTCTCCTTCCGCACTCTCGAATACGGCAGCCCCCACTAGCCACATGTGGCTACTGAGTACTTGAAATGTGACTGGTCCAACTGAGAAACTGAATGTTTACATTTTATTTTATTTCAGTTAATTTTAATAACCATATGTAGTGAGTGGCTACTATGTTGGACAGTGCAGTTCTAGAAGAAAGAAATGGTTAAGAAAGTGTGCCAGAGAACTATCGGAAAGTCCTCTGCCTGCTTCCATGGCACTCAGCATTGGAGAATAATGACAGTGTCACTCATGGGGATCGGGACCAGGGCGTGACAGTCATTTGTAATTTCTTTCTGTCATTCAGTAAACTTCAGCAGATCAACAGATGCCAAAGGCCTAGGTCTGTTTATAACCCATGGATGTTGCTTCATAAGGAAAAGTTTGGCTCATATAAAACAGGTCTTCTGAGTGTGATTCTATTTACAGATTGGGGTTACATGCAGTTAGATAGAATACTATATAATACATAACACAATACAAAATACTCAAACAAAATGACTTTTTAGCACATATCAAAGTTTTACTCAACCCATTCATGAAAGAACCAGCAGCAAGACAAGATCACTGGCTCCAGGAGCGTGTGAACAACCAAAATGTATAGTCTGTTATAAAAGAAAAGCTGAAATAACGTTGCTAAATCAAATAAAAAAATTAGTTTCCTGCAGGGCAATAAAAATTTCTTAAAAGTTTTTATTTAAATTGCTGTTTGTTAACTTACAGCGTGATATTAGTTTTGGGTGTACAATATGGTGATTCAACACTTCCATACAACACCACAGGTGTGCTCCTTCATCCCCATCACCCGTTTCACCCATCCCCCCCGCCCACCTCCCCTCTGGTGACCATCAGTGTGTTCTCTGTAGTTCAGAGTCTGTTTCTTGGTTTGCCTCTCTCTCTCTTTTTGTCCCTTTGCTTGTTTTGTTTCTTAAATTCCTCATATGAATGAAATCATATGGTATCTGTCTTTCTCTGACTGACTTATTTCACTTAGCATCATACTCTCTAGTTCCATCCACGGATGGAAGTATTTTAAAAGGCATCATTACCCTACACTGTGCCATGTTGTACCTCTTACACCCTCCCCGCACCCTCCCTCCCCCCGCCGCCCTTTGGTGAACGCTACCTTCCACGGTGACACTTTTGCAGGAGAGCACTTGGCTGTCAGCTGCAACATGAGCTCTCAGTCTACACTATAATTATCTCATGTGGGCAGAGGCACCTTGAAGGGAAAAGGTGCCAAATCCTAGCAAGTGGGATGGGGTTTTCAGAGCAGAATCTGTCATAATGGGTATGGTTATTCTTATTAAATGCACTCCATTTATTTTCTGGAGATACATTGACACAATGGATTGTGCAGGTTTGGGGGGCCCATGGGAAATCGTTCCATAAGAAATCAGGCCAAAGGAACACAATGCAGACCTTTGGACTTCCCTTCAAGAAGATCAGTCGTGATGAAAAGTAAGCTAGAGCTTGAGGCGAGAGGCAGAAGCTGCAGAGAAGTGATAGCACTCGAGGCTCCTAGCTCAGGTACGACTGTTGCACTGCGGGCTTCCTGTCCCTTGGAGAGTTGCCTCTTTGGATTGCAGACTTACTGGGGAATGGCCATGTTTACTTAGTGCGATAGCTAGCATCTGTTCGCTCATGGCACGCAGTACAAACTGGTATCAAGTGGGGAGTTACAAAGTTGTTGCAACGATAGAACAACGAGGCGACTTGCTGCCCCCCAGACAGGGCCTCCTCCTTGAGGTGGAGGGTGGGCTGGTGATCATCACCGTCCAGGTTTTGGACTCAGGCTTGCAGGTCCAGAAACTCAATTTTGACCGGGAGGCCAGAGTTGATCAGGAGCAGTGGACTGAGTCTCCGTACCCGAGGTCCTAAGAGACTGATCAAGTCTCCTCTTGTTCCTGTCTCATGGAAGACTTTTCTTTCTAGAAACTAGATTTCAGTATGTTATATGTTCTTACCTGAATTTCCAGACACTCCCTCGTCGAAATTCAGGTTCTTAGGAGGTAGAGATTGTCCTCAAAAGATGCTTGGGGAATCCATAGAATGACATGGAAGTGCTGTCCCTGGATGTGTGCCACGTGATGGCCTGGGACTCACAGCGAGGATAATGTCACAGCCGTGATAAGAAGTGACGAGAGACATCGGCAGATCACATCGCTGTGGTGACTGAAATGTCAGAGTCTTCTCTGCTTTCTCCTCTTGGACAATGGCTGATGCTTGTTCTCAGCCTTTTCCTTTTCTAGGCTCCCAAAGACTGTTCCCTTCCTATCACGTGGTTTTTCCTCAGATGTAGTTCACTTCCACTGAAGCGGGGGCATTTATATAAAACATAACCTGCTATGGCCTGCTGTTGTACGTAACCAAGACTGGGCTAAAATGGAGACGGAAATATAAATGTGTTCTCCACTGTCTACCCCTAGTTGCCATTTAGCCCTCAAATCATCTTTTATCCAAGATTCAAAGGGCTCAGTCACTGCAAGAAATGTTTTTTCTTCTTTGATGTTCCGTTAAAGTTATACTTAACATCGCTGCCTTTTCTACTGTGGAAGGCCGTAGAAAATAAACAGCGGGGAATAGTGTTGATGTTGAAATCAGATTATCCTGGATTCTTATGGAGCGTCCCCTGTCTGCATTGCTCACCTGTGAAATGCCTTCCTCCCCGGGGTTGTTGCAAGGACTCCAGGGGTTAACGTGCATAAGTTGCTTAGCCCAGGTCTTGGCATGGGCAACACACTCAGCAGATGTGCAGTTTGCCCCTCTCCTCCCTCTCCTCCCTCTCCTCCTCTTCTCTTTCTCTTCTTTCCCTGTCCTCTCTTGAAGCCTTGATTAAGTCTTTTATTATAAAATTATTTTTGCTATGAAGTAAACAACCACAGTGCCTGAACGTGTCAACATTGCAATGGGATGTCACCATAAATGTGTTCTCTCATTTTTTTTCTGCCTCTGTTATTCTTCTGTGAGTATTTCATTAGCATAACTGTCCACATATTCAATGCCTCACTCCAAAATTACACCCCACTTCCACCCCTAATTCCACCTTATGCTCCTGTTGCGTGATGTCTAACACGGTCACGACTGACTCTTCACAGATGTATGGGACTTTTCTATAGTAAGCATCTAATCCAAATAAGCCAAGACTGACTGCCTCCGCCACTGAAAAAGCTTTCGTGATGTCTTCTCCTATGATTATAAGGCCCAGTGCTCAGGGAAAGCAGACTCATTTCAATAAAATTACAAACACAGGATGACTAGCAAAGTACATCTGCTGCTGGGGAGAATAATTATGCTCCAAAGCATATGTTATTTAGAACAGTGCTCTATAGAAGTATGTCATTATTCCCTTCCATTACTATGGATAATTAAGAGTTGATTGGTACTTAAAAGACAATGAACTTTATGCCTGGGAAACAAATTAATATTTTATTATTCTCTGCCTTTGTTGCTTGCAGGATGAAAAAATCTGCTGACTGTAGGCTCAGCCAACCCAGGTCCTGAACTCATGAAAGCCTCATGTGGCAAAACAGTGGAAGTCTGAAGCCCGCTGAGATGCGTGGGATCAGTACCTTGACCCCTAGTCACACCGTACACCAGTGTTTCTATTGAGTGCGGAGCACAAGGGAATAGTAGCAGGATTTGGGAGAAACTATAACAGGGGCAGAAGATACGGTCACCTCCATGGAGAAAGAGCATTCTTAAATCACCAGATCAAGGGAATTTAACCAGTTCTGCTCTGAGTAGGGCAAGGTCAATATCTAAGAGGTTGGGCCCAGGGGGAGACAATGCGGAATCTTGGTTATCTGGTAGGGATCAGAATCGTTCAGGTTGGGAGATCCTTTCAAAGTAGTGTGAGGCAACAAGAGGAGGGTCCAGCCCCAGGAAAGAGGCTGGCAGGAAAGGGAGGTCCCCCTCCACCCGAGCTGCGGTGCAGAACCAGGTTCCCATCCTAGAATCCAGCGCAATTTTACCCCAATAGAGGAAAGCCAGAAACAGAAATATCGGGTGGAACCGAACTTGTCAGGTGGGAGACCGCGAATGTTCACGGTGGTCAGGACACGTCAGACAGGGGGAGAGTGAATATTTTCACAGTAATTCTACTAAGGCATCAGACGCTAGTGAAAGACTTCATCATGGTGACATCTCTCACCTTAAAGATCAATTCTTAATTAAGATCAGTGAAGTAAAATTAGACACATCAGCGTTTAACTAATGTGGGCCAGGTGAGGTGAAGGCGATTGGGGGCCACGTGGTCTTGGAGAAGCTGGCTGCTCTGTCTGGTGCTCACCTAGAGGAACAGTGATGGCCAATTCTGGAGAAATCCTGGCACGGTGGACTCACTGAGAAATGGTTTTCTCAGTTTCCCACAGGACTTGTAAATATGAACGCAATACATCCAGCCAGCATCCCTGCCATAAAGATTAGAGAGGAAAGAATGGTTTAGCGTGGTATCGGACAAAGATAGGATGAAGTCTAAAACAATTATTGCTGACATGCACTGGGCACTCTTCTCAGGTTGAACTTATTCTATGTTTTAACTTGTTTAATTCTCACTGAAGTCCTGTGATGTATGTATTATCATTCATTATTCCCATTTCACAGGTGAGGAATCAAGGCACGAAGCAGATGATGTCCCCTGAAACAGCTAGTTAAGTGCCAGGGTTCGTATTTAGCCCAGGAGACTGGCTTTAGAACCTGAGCATTCAACAGCCAGCTAATTCTGCTAAATTATTACAGTTGTGGCTGGAAGACAGGGGAGATTTAAATCCGTGTTATGGACTTCAACATATTGTTAGAAAAGACTCTTCAACCCTACGTTCGTCTGAAGATAGGCAGGCTTACATTGAAAAAGAATTAAGATCTTCACGGGAGAGTGGCCGTATGATCTATCATCTAAACTGGGACACGTCCAAAAGGAAAAAGCTATTAATAACTTCACCAGGAAAACTGGGACATATGGTCGTCCTACTCACAGGACAAGTTTCAGCCTTCAAGACCTGCAGAGCGCTGCGGAAGTTGTAGATCGCCGTACCCGTTACACACGAACACACGTGTATTGCTGTTGTCTTCTCTAGACGAGGTGTCTGTCTTTGATGGGCAACTTGAAGGATTTTCAAGGATAATTTTGGCTGTGCCTGCCTTACCCCTGGGTGATAGAATTTAACCCCTATACAGAACCCATCCCATAGAGACAGGTAAAGCATTTTTCTAACAAGTTCTCTTTATGGAGCAGGTTAGCCAATTTGTAGAAAAACGTTTTTGAGAGTTTCTGTATGAACTGATAACTTTTGATTTCCTTCAAGAATTAGTATGAATTTCAAACAAATGAGGTTTGCAAAGAGTTTTTTTTAAACTGTAAGTAGATGAATACATTTCTTTAGATAAAGTCCTCCATTCACTGAATTCTTCGAGCTGCCATGTGACAGACGCTTTGCCAGATGCTGGAGACACAGTAGGAAACAAACAGATCGGCAAAAACAAAAACAGCCAAAAACCCAACCCGTCAGGATAGTTGTGCGTAGAGGGAAGCGATAGCATGAATGTAAAATGGAGGGGTGTGTGACACTAATTGGGGAGCAGTGTCAGGATGGGGAAGGTGGATTGTGTGGTCAGGGAAGGCATCCTCAAGGAGGGGACATTTGATCTGAGACATTAACGACAAGCCAAGTGCAAAGACCTCTGGAGGGAACGGGTGCAGAAAGGAGGCTCCTGTGACTAGGGGTTGGGGGTGTGGAGGGACAGAAGGATGGAAGCCATGCAGCTCCGAGCCCTGCACTTGTCCGTCACTCACGCAGACACCAGATTTCAACATCCCATCGTCCCTTGAGCATTGGCTGTGTTCAGCAAGGGATGGGAGCGGGTACTGTCAGGATCTGGCCGGGGGCAGGCCTCACTGGGCTGCATATCTCTCTCCACAGTGGCGGGCCCGGGGCAGAGCTGACCCCGAGAGCAGGTGCGGGCAAGGCGGGCCGCTCTGATCTTTGCCCGTGACAGCATCAGGTGGCCTTTCGCCCGCCTTGTGTAGGCGAACAGGAGCGGCAATAAAGGAGTATCAAAAATTCTAGTCTTTCTCTTTCCTCCTATGCCCATTTCCTGTGAGTCTTTCAGTAGAAGGGCTGTTTCTTTCTCCACAATGAAACGACCTTCGAAAGCCCTTCTGACTGACGGAGATGCGAGGTCACAGTGTAAACCGTACGGCAGAGGAGAGAGGATATTCCGTGGCGGGCTCTCTTGGCTGCCTGTGGGACCGGGTGAGCAGGTGCAGCGGCCCCCCATCGGCTCTGCCTCGGCAGGTTACCCTGACCTGAGATGCGCAGCCTCCCTGTTCCAGGCAATCAAATCAGACAGTCTTCGAGACATCATTCTTCTGGGTAGTAACCTACCCTGGAGTTTAAAGGATGGAGTTCACAGCCTAGAAAACTGAAAACCACGTGGCTTCTTGCAGACTCTTAACTTAGACATTAAGTCCAGCTCCCTATCAGACCTCTCCCCTTCGATGCGTATGTTCCCGCTATCCCTGAGTTAGCCAGAGGCACAAAGGAGAGCGAGCAGGCTTACCCCAATCTTCCTTAATCCGCACACGTGGGCCAGCTGCGTGAGCACAATGCCCAACCTCCTGGGCGGAGACCTCTTTATGGGGAAGGTAAAGGAGACAAAGAAGGAGGGCCCCAGGCAGGAGATAGTCTCACAACTGGGCCATCTCTCCTCAAGGCGATGGAAACTCCTTTTGTCCCCAGGCTTGAGCAGCACGAGACCTTCAACCTCTGCAGTGTTTTCAAGGAAGAAACCCAAGGGTAGAGTCAAGTGTCAGTGTGCCATTCCGAGAGGCAGGATTCTTCCAAAGTTGCTCCATTAGAAAAAGGGATCATTCTAATTCACCCCTAGCTAATGTGTTACATGTGGGGGCAGCCAGTTCACTGTCCTCCCCCCTGAAAGGGTCATGTGCTCTTGTGCTTCTGTTCATTTAGTTATGCTGTGCTCTCTGCCAGAAGTCACCCCCACCTCAGGCCCTTTACTCTGCTCTTACAGGCCTTGCAAAATTCACTTTAGGAATAGTGACTATAGGAAGCCTTTCCAGAAGTCTCAACACTGACCTGGGAGCATGCCACACTCCCACCCACCACCTGCAGTCCTAATCACCCTAGGGATGTCTCTACAGGAGCCACCATATGCTTGAAATTCCACAAACATATATATATATATATATATTTAAAGATTTTATTTATTTATTTGACAGAGAGACAGCGAGAGAGGGAACACAAGCAGGGGGAGTGGGAGAGGGAGAAGCAGACTCTCCGCTGAGCAGGGAGCCCGATGTGGGGCTCGATCCCAGGACCCTGGGATCATGACCTGAGCCAAAGGCAGTTGCTTAACCACTGAGCGACCCAGGCGCCCCCACAAACATGTTTATGGTCGGCACTGTCTTAGGCACTGAAGCAAAAGTAGACTAAAATCCCTGCTCTAAGAGCACTTATTTGGGGTGGGGGAAAACAGGCCATAAATGAATGAATAAATTCTTGCAATAGGATGCTATGCAGCTGTAAAAAGGAATCAGGAAGAGATGTATATCTTGTTCTATAATCTCCAGGATGTAGTAAAATTCTGGATTTGTTTGATCACTTCTGTGTTATATCACTTAACTCGTTTCTCTAGCTCCTGTGTTTTCAATAAGCTAGTTAGATCTAGAGGTTGGACCCATGAATTCATGGGTTTGTTTGTTTGTTGGGCAAAAATAACTTGTCAGCAATGTATTTCCTATTGTATCACATCATAAGGCACGTAATATCTGGTATGCTTCATTTGTGCTTATAGTTTTAAATCGGAGCTAAAGAAGGTTAACCAAAGGCTAATAAAAATGATTACCTATAGAAGAGTAAGGGAACAGGGATATAAGTAAGACTTCTCTGAGTGTGTCTTGTTGACACTGTATAAATATTGACATAAGTTAGAAAGAGTTATCCAGGTTGAGGGACTAGCATGTGCAAATGATCTGAGACAGGCACATGCACGGTTCATTCGAGAGAGTTCAAGGTCAGTGAGTAATTTCTGGTTTACTTGTTTGCCTTCCCTGCTAGACTGTAAGCTTTTGAAGAAAGGACCAACAGCTTTCATCTTCGTAGGCTCAGCTTTTGTATAGTGCCTGTCATACAGTCTATGTTTGATGCATATTTATTGAATAAATGAGCATCAATAAAGCACTCTTGGGATCTCATTGCCATGAAGTCACAAATCTATAATTTTCGTCAGTCTTCTTTGATGAATCAGAGGAAGGTTAGAAAGTTAAAACAGGATAACTGAGGCAAAATATATATATCAAACATTGGCACGCTATTAAAGATCTTCAGTGTACATGGAAACCTACAAACCACACCATTCCTCCGAGTGTAACACTTCAGAGCAATCTTTCTTTTTATTAGGCATGCCCCTGTTTTATTATAACTGTTGAAAGGCAACAATTTAGCAAAAACAAAACATAAATACTTACCTTCTAAATAAAAGTAAACTAAATTTTTAAATAAGTAAAATTAGAATGATACATACATAATAAATCGATAAAGTAAGCAAGTAATTAAAAACCATAAATAATTTAAGTACATAAACTCATTTATTTCCTAGATGAGAGTTAAACGAAGATCTCAGTCGTCTGCTCTCTCTATCCATGTGTGGATCCATGTACGTCATCCCTACGTGTCTGCCTATTTTAGAGTGGAGTCAGGTGGACCCACAAGTCACTGCTCTTCCTTCAGCTTGTGTCTTCCTGTGTTGAGGCACCCAACTGAATGCATAAAATACATGCAGAATAAAGTAAGGGGACATTTTATTGGCCTCTGAGGGGTTGGAGATGCATATTTAGAAGGCCTTGTTACAGTACATAAGGAGGTCATGAGCAAGTCTTATCTAAATCACTTGGGTAGGATGGTTCTTTACAGTAAGCCATTTCCTGGAACACAAGAGGGTGGGCAGATTCCTATCCCTGACCACTAAAACAACTGTTTTCAGGATGACAGGGCTTGGGTAAAGCTCGAAATTGTCAAAGCCAAGATCTGGGCACTAGATACGGTCATTAACATTGGGACGTTGCTGTTCCCAGGTCCTCTTAATGGACAGAGCTAGGGAGACAGATTATATAGATACAAAGATACAGATACAGATACCCAGAAATGCCTTTATTTCTATATCAACCTATGTATATTGAAGACATGAGTTCTTACAGATACCTCCAATTCCAATTCAACACCACAGGGTTCATTCGAGTTTGCTTCATTTCCATGTTTGAAACTCCATTCTCCAACAGGGATATCAACCTAGTATATTAAGTTCTTTGTGCAATCATCCAGGTCGTAACCAGCATCTGCTGCCCTCCCGGCTCCCTTCCTGGCATGGATGTCCTCCTCACCCCACCGAAGCCCGGACATCCTGTGCTAGGTTATCCCACTCAGGCCCCCTCCCACACGGATGCACTTCCCGCCCTGCTGCCCCTCTGCCACTGGAGCACCTTCTCACCCATCTGTGCTCAGAGCACTCCTCCCCATGGCCCCTGCACACATGCACACCTTGCTCAGCCCACCCAACAGATGACTTGGGGCTGAACTGTACAGCAAGGGAATGAAAAGGAGAGGAACTGGAAGAGAAAGACGACCTATCAAGTCCGATGCCAATTTGATGTGCTTTCTCTTACAACCGGATCCATCTTCATTCATTCAATTTGTTACATAACACACACACAAAACACACAAATTCCATTATTATTTATTTTAGTTTATAAATGGAACTTATATTTAATGGAATAGATGAACAACTAACAGGTGAAAACGATTTAAAAACACCATATAAACATATTTACTTGTCATATTGGATAACATTTATTTTTGTCCTCAGTAACCGATCTTTTAGAGACGAATCTCCATGTAGGATTATTGATGCCACATTTATTTATCATTACGAAAAAATAAATTTAAACAACACAAATTAAAAAAAGAACTGAATCGATCTTTCTGCCTGTATGCTCCAGGTACTTTTCTCCCTTTAAAATCCAATAATTTTACTAGAATAGGTCTGCATGTTGGCCGTCCTGGGCTGATTTTCCCAAGTTCGCGGCGCGTACTTTTAATATGTAGGTTTAGGGCTGCTTTTTATTTAAAGAAAGTTTTCTTGAATTGTAGCAAAGCACCGGGACTTCAGAGCAATTGGTCTTTCCCTCCCCCCTTCAGGACATCCCTCCATCACAAGTAAATTCTTTGCCCAGAAGGGCACTTTGGTGGAAAATTTCGAGATGTAGGGACTGAACTTCGACGAGCTGCTAACTGGTAGATTTTGAGAGGAAACAGGTGAGAATGCCGTTGGTACCGTGCATGGCGCGTAATAAATGTACAGTGACGTTACTCCTGCGCGGGAGAGTCCGGTTTACGAAAGGAGCCCAGCTCCCCAACTTACTGGGCAAAGTCTCCTCTGAACCCTGAAGTTGGCGTCATCACCGAGCCTTAAGTGACGCTCACATTCGCGCATGCTCCGTAGGCGGAGCAGCGCCCATCCTACCCTCTCCAGGCGGAAGTCCCCTTTTGTTTATTAAATTACGACAGTCGTAAACTGAGTTTTTTTTTTTTTTGTGTGTGTGTGCCGGCTTCCTAGTTTTACGACAACAACAATGGCGGCTACCAGTGGTAGATTTGAAAGTGCGAAGAGTATCGAAGAACGAAGAGAACAGACCAGGATTGCCAGGGCCGAGGTGTTGCGCCAGGTATCTCCGTTCTGGGGCGTTGGAGTCATTTAGAATCGTGGGAGTGGACGGTTCGTGGGAGCCAGGCCTCTGGCTCTCCTTCCCCCGCCCCCCTTCTCTCGCCACCTCAGTGTCTCACCTTACCTGCGTGAGGGTCTCCCTTTGGGATGCCCGAAAACTCTTGGTTAGTTCCCGCCTCCCTAGATGCGTTGGTAGTCTCCAGCTGCTCATTCTCTTCTTAGGAAGGCCTGTTTCTTTCTTGAGTTTCCTTACTTCTTAATTTGTCCGTTCTTTGATATTTCCGTTATTGGATCTGTGCACTTTTGAGGAACTCCACCACTGATGACGATTCTGCCAGCGCATGTGACAGCCTCAGTCCTCGCTCTTTCTGTATCTGAAATAGACATTTCCGTTCTCAGAAACACACGTGAGGCACATTGGAGTAGATTGTTGGACCGTTTCCCTCTCTTGTCTTATTATTGGTATCGATTCCAGGGTTATTGTAAATCCTTACCGATCCATACAAGGGTTGACAGAAGAGACTCAGAAAATGTAGTCCCTCGAAAAAGGTTAAGAAACGTTGTATTTCTCACTAAGATGGAGATGTATAGAGGTAACTTATAAGGAAGGGGGTAAGTAAACTGTATTATCCGACAAGATGTAGTAAGTGTGGCATTGAAGGGGAAAATGTGTAGCTGGAAGCAATATAGGGTACAAGTGAGGGTTTTTGTTTTTATTGGTTTTAAGACGGAAGAGTTTTAAATAAATGCAGATGAAAAGGGGCTGGTAGAGGAGGCGGGGAGGCATGATGATTATGCCCAGAGTTTAAGGCGAAGAGTGGGCCGTTAGTGTTGGATAGGTGAAAGGTTGGTATTGTTCTCTGATTTCAGCATATCTAACCTATATGCATAATAAATATTCTTCATCCTTACCTTTTTGGTATTTTAGGCAGTTTCTGGAGCGAGTTGGGTTTGAAAGCTAAGGTAAATTTTATAGTGGAGGTATGCATAGAGTTTGGGAAGGACCAAAACCAGCTTTGGAGTTTGGAGAAAGAATGAAAAGGCAGAAGCAGCCTCTTAGGAAGAACTTATTTTATTTGACTGTTGTTGAAAGGTGACTATAAATTAGCAATATGATCGTTTGGTTTTAGAAAGATGATTCTCCCTGAAGCATTTTGGGGGCTTGGGTAGAAGGATATGGGCATTGCAGATTGAAGGCATGGTCAGTCTCCTGACAGTTATGGAAGTCTCAGGCAGTAGCAGTGGGATGGTGAAGGAAAAAGGAGATTCACGTCCTATTTAAGGTAGGGAGCTTAGGGAGAGGGGAAGATCTACTATAGGTCCCGGGATTCGTCCTTGATTCACTAGAGATTGGTGATGTGATTGGTAATGTGGAAGGAGAGTTTTGTTCTGTTTTTAATCTTTCCTATACTTTGGTAGAAGCAAATTCCTGGCAAGGGACAGACAATAACTGATGAGACCTTATATGAAAGTGGAAAATGGTTTTGTTTTATTTATTTATTTTTTTTGTGAAAAGCAATTGGATAAGTTAATTTTTCTTTTTTCATTGTTTCAGGCTAAAGCCAATTTTGAAAAGGAAGAAAGGTGTAAAGAACTTAAACGACTTCGGGGTGAGGATACATGGATGCTACCTGATGTGAATGAGCGAATTGAACAGTTCTCACAGGTGAGTACTAACAGGTTCACTTGATGTAACAGATCTGTCTTTTTTTGTTAATATTGGAAGAAATAACTTTATGTTACTATTTTGAAAAGTTACAGAATGACTATCACAGGTGGCATTACTAATTTTATCTCTGGCAGAAATAATATATTTTAATATTTTGGACATTATAACATTGGGCAGATTTTGTTACTTGAGTTGACTGGTAGAAAGCTTAGCAGATTTCTGGCCCACTTGTATCAACTTATGGACCTAAAAAATTATGCATTTTAAAGTTTAATGTCATGTTTTTTTTGGTCTGAATTCTTGTTTTCCATTTCCATAATTTTAATTTATACTGTCTTGTTATATATTATATGACCCAATAATCTTTTATAAATTCTTTAGGGGCCACAGAGGATATATGTATATGTATGTGTGTGTGTGCATACATTTGAGTATAAATGTATTTATTTGATTATATCTGTCAGATGAATCTGTAAATATATTAAGACTAAAACTTCCCTCATATTTTTCTGAAAAGATAGCTCAGCTATATGATTTATTAGCGGTGCCTATATTATAGAAGCCTGTTAAAGTTTCTTAGAAGATTTTATTTTGTCTTGTGTATTGTCTCATTTCATGGAAATGTAGTTTTTGGAATATAGATTTTTTTTTTCCTTCAAAATATTTGTTTTAAAGTAAGATGAAACCAAATTCCTTACCTCTTTAAAACAATTATTTATAGGAACACTCTCTGAAGAAAAAGAAAAAAAAAGATAAACACTCAAAAAAAGTAAAGAAAGAGAAGAAAAAAAAGAGTAGGAAACAGAAGTATGAAAAAAGCAATGAGTCAACAGATAGTTCATCAGTAAGTATGTGTTAAAGCTAACCAAAGCAGCTACTTGAGAAAATTGTATTTAAAGGAGTAATGTATAGAAATGTAAAATATATGAGAACTTAAAAAATATTACTAGTTAGGGTATGAAAATGCCTGGCAAACATCTACTGGGAGGTGTCCAGGAAATACTGGAAAAATGGATCTTAAGTTACAGAGAAAAGTAGGAGGATGGGGATACGATTTAGAAGTCATTGCTCGGGGAAGCTGTTCGAATGGATGGATTGCCCAGGGATGTTGAAAAGAAAAGAGGAACACCAGGAACCAGACGGGAGTAAAGGCCATCAAGTAGAAGTAGTTGGAAAATTGGAAGGAGATGCAAGGGAAGGACAGTACTGAAAAATGAAAGAGTTTTAAGACATTTAAAAGTCTAGGGATTGCCTGGCGGCTCAGTTGGTTAAGTGTCTGCCTTCGGCTCAGGTCATGATCCTAGGGTCCCGCATCGACCCCATCGGGCTCCCTGCTCAGTGGAGAGGCTGCTTCTTCCTTTGCCTCTCCCCTGCTTGTGCTCTCTCTCTCTGACAAATAAATAAGTAAAATCTTAAAAAAAAAAGACATTTGAGAGTCTGTTGCTCTTATTTTTTAATACAAATTAACATTTTAGTCTTTAAAATAGGACATGTTTATATATTTATCTTTGGGGTCAAAAGGAAGAGAGTGCTGTCTTGGCTCTGTCTCTAGCCAGTTCTGGGATAAGAGGACTCACAGAGGAAGGGTAAACCTTTCACACTGATTTTCAGGAAGAAAGAAGTACACTGTTGGGGCACTTGGGTGGCTCAATCAGTTAAGCCTCCGACTCTTGATTTCAGCTCAGATCATGATCTCAGGGTCATGAGATAGAGCCCTACATTGGGCTCCATGCTGGACATAGAGTCTGCTCGAGATTCTCTCCCTCTGCCCCTCTCCCTGCTTGCATCCTCTCTCTCTCTCTCTCTTTCTTTCTCTCAAATAAATCCTGGGGAAAAAAAAAAGAGGTACATTGTGGTTAGAGAGTGATGAGCTAGAGATGTTGAGGGTTAGTTGGTCTCCTTCAGAGGGTTGTATGTGCAGTTGATCACTAAAGAGGACTAAAGTCTGGTCCTCTTGTACTTCTAGGAACTGAGTTTTGGGCAGTACACCCTGAGATGATAAATGGCTCATGAAAACCTATCTTATATGAGAATGCAGTTTGTGAATTCATAGTGAGAAATACAGCTGGATAGTTTTGTCAAGTAGCCAGCATATTTTTGTAATGGTAGGAAAAAAATTGTTAAATGTAATTCAGGACAAAGTCAGTTAGAAAATCTTAAAGTGAAAAGAAGGTAGAGGCACTGTTTCCACAATTGTGGATTGAGTTGCTGATCCCATTGAGATCCTGAAAAAATTAAGTTATCCTTTTTCCAAAAAGAAATTTATATACAAAGTTATTTCAGTGGGATTTATAAAACCGGAATTTAGGCAGAGATCACAGGTTAAGAATCTCTGTCCTGTGGGGACAGATCTGCTAGGCTGAGTAAACATTTATGTAATTTGATTAAGGGTACTTGCTTTCCCTTATTAGAGACACATTGTCCTGTTATATTTCTTTTTTCTTTCCTGGAAGTATGGTTGACCTTTGAACAACATGGGTTTGAACTTCATGGATCCACTTATAAGCAGATGGTTTTTAGGTAAATACAGTACAGTACTGTAAATGTTAATTTCTCTTCCTAATGATTTTAACATTTTCTTTTCTCTAGCTTACTTTAAGAATACAGTGTATAATACATATAGCATATAACATACATGTTAATCTTGTTAATGTTATCAGTAAGTCTTCTGGTCAACTGTAGGCTATTAGTAAAGTTTTTTGGGGAGTCCAAAGTTATATGTGGATTTTTGACTATGTGGGGAGTCAGCGCCCTTAATCCCCTTGTTGTTCAAGGGTTGTTTATATATATAAGTCTTTTTGTTGCAACTCATGAATGGAATTTTAAAAAAATGAATAAACAAACAGGAGAACCAGAACTATAAATATGGAGAACAAACTGAAGTTTGCTAAAGGGGAGGGCTCTGGGGGTGTTGGGTAAAATGGGTGAATGGAAGAGGGAGGTACAGGTCTCCGGTTATGGAATGAGTAGGTCACGGGAATAAAAAGCAGAGCATAAGGAATACAGTCAGTGATTATAATAGCAATGTAATGGGGCAGATGGTAACTACATTGTGGTGAGCGTAGCATGATGTATAAACTTGTCAAATCGCTAAGTTGTACACCTGAAACTAATGTAACATTGTGTGTCAACTATACTCAAATAAAAGAGAAAGAGGAAAAACCTCTCAAATGTGTAGGCTAACAGTAAAACCCCTCTGAATCTTGGACTTCAAAAATAAAATTACCGAGATTAATTTTATGGCCTAGCCTGTGATCAGTCTTGGTGACAATTCCATGTGTATTTGAAACGTATATTCAGCTGTTAGGTGTAGTGTTCTATAAATGTCAGTTTGGGGAAGTTGATTAATAGTGTTAAGTCTTTTGTATTCTTACTGATTTTCTGTTTTCTTCTATCAATTACTGTGAAAGCAGTATTAAAATCTCTAGCTGTAGTTGTAGAAGTTTGTCTATTTCTCCTTTAGTTTTGTGTTTTTGCCTAACGTATTTTGAAGCTTTATTAGGTATATACACATTTAGTACTATTATATCTTCTAGATGAACTAGCCATTGTATTATTATGAAATGTTTCTCTTTATCTCACTTAACATTTTTGTTTAAGGTCACTTTGTTTCATATTAATAAACTCTCTTCAGTTTTATTATTTTTTTTTTTCATGGTATATCACTTTTTATTCCTTTAGTTTTAATTTTTCTATTTTGGTTTTATTGAATGTATTTCTTGTAGACTGATTATTTGGGTCTTGCTTTTTTTTTTTTTTTACCTAGTTTATCAATTTCTTCCTTTTTAATTAGAGGATTTTCTGTACTAGGTAATATGGTAGCCATATGTCGCTTTTAAAAATTTAATTAAAATTCATTAAAGTTATATTAGGTTGAAAATTCATTTCTTCATTCTCACTAGCCAAATTTTTTAAGGGCTCAGTAATCACATCTGGCTAGGTTAGTGGCCCCTGTACTAGGCAGTGTAGGTATAAAAAAAATTCTGTTAGATAGCAGTGGTTTAGATCATTTATGTTTAATGTAATTATGGATCTTCCTTGATTTTCAATTGGGTTATGTCCAGTAAACCCATTGTAAGTTAAAAATATCATAAGTCAAAAATACATTTACTACACCTAACCAACTGATTATTATGGCTAAGTCTAGCCTACCTTAAACGTGCTCAGAATACTTGTAGTAGCCTACAGTTGGGCAAGATCCTCTGACACAAATACTGTTTCCTTAGCTCAGTGAGATTGTCATATTTAGCTTGAGTTTCCCTTCCTTGTGTTTTGGTCTGGGAGGTGCTTCAAGGCAAAAAGCTGTCGCATTCACCCCATTTGTTTCCCTTTTCAGGGATCACAGCCCTGTATTACTGAGATACAATGTTCTGAGAACAGTTTCAAATATTTTCTATTATTACTTCTATTTCTTTCTTTTTTTTTTTTCTTAGATTTTATTTATTTATTGACAGAGAGAGACATAGTGAGAGCAGGAACACAAGCAGGGGGAGTGGGAGAGGGAGAAGCAGGCCTCCCGCGGAGCAGGGAGCCCAATGTGGGACTCGATCCCAGGACCCTGGGACCATGACCTGAGCCGAAGGCAGACGCTCAACGACTGAGCCACCCAGGTGCCCTATTACTTCTATTTCTATGTATTTTTAGTCTGATGCCGTTTATTTTGTCATGGTCAGAAGCAGAAGTCCTCAGGTTCCTTTAATATTTACTGGTAGCACTTGCTGTCTTGGTTCTATCTTCTAGATTTTTTTCTGATACGATTAGGGGTGTGGTTATTACGAAGGCCACACATGAGAGGAAGAGTTCTGGGAGCTGTGTTAGGTCAGGAGGCACATTAAGCTTGATGGTGTATGAATTCTCCAAGGTAAGGTGGAGGATTGAAACTAAAATCAGCAGAAGAAATGAAGTCATAGCATATTTGGGAGGAGGAACAGCAATTGTGCAAAAGTATTGAGGTGATCGTATAGTGGTGAAAATGAGAAACAAAATTAGTAGAAAGGGAATGAAGGCAGGCAAGTTCTATAGAATTGTCCAGGTTTCACTGTTCTGTGAATGAATAATAATACGAAGTGTATCACTGAGGTTTCTTTCATTCAGTGCCTGGTATTTAAAATGCTTGAATGCTAGCTGGTACTTAAAGTTTCTGACTAGGGCTGTTGGAAGAGTAGAAAAAGAGGATTTAATTAATTTTAGTGCACCTTTACTGAATGTCAGTTCTTCATCAGACTCTGGTATAGACACAGGGAATACAAAAATAGAGGTTTTTTTCAGGCCTTTGGGGAACTCATTTTCTAGTTAGATAAATAGATACGTAATTTCAGTGTGTAATCTCATGATGCCAAGGCAGAACAGTATAGTCATTGATTAAACAAGATAACTTTTCTCTCCTATGAAAGAAATCAGGCAGGTGTCTGGGACTAGTGTGGTCTTCTGGGACTAAGGCTTCTACTGTTTTGCTACTCCCTCAGCATTACAGCCTTAGCTCTTAGTCTAGATAACAAGAAAGAGGATGCCCTCTCTTTCATCATTTGACTTCCAGAAAGTCCCGCATAATGCCTTTATTTCCATGTCGTTGGACACTTGATCATAAGTCTTCAGTTTCCAGCAAGGGAGGCACATTATGTCTCCAAATAAAAGAGGGTTCTTTTGGCAAGAAAGAAGAAGAGCTTTGTGACAGGGAGCCATAGAAGAGGTCATATGTGTTCTCTTTATATTACTCCCAGGTGTATTTAGGGTGGGGGTTGGAAAAAAGAAGGGGAGCAGGAAAGACTGGAGCCCAGGAAACTAATTTGGTTATTCCAGTTGTCTAGGTGAGAGATAAGAGGATGTGATCTAGGATACTTTAAG